TACCCGATAAAAAATCGTTTCATTTAGCTCAGATTATTCGAATAATCTCATTAGTTTGTTTTGATCAATGTTAGTAGAGTAAATAATTATTTATATTTCATATTTGTTTATACTTGAAATACATGTACCACTAGTTCTTGAGATATGATGTTAGGTCATCTTTGTATTAATTTGAACTTCTGCATCGTTTCTTTGATATCATTAACCCTAGAAGCCATGATTAGGACTTATTTTGTTTTTTTCTTAGCCCTATATTGGACCAAGCTAGTTACATACATATATGTCCTTACCATAGTTATCGTGAGACTTGGCATGCGATTGATGAAAATTGACCGGCTATTGACAAGAAGATAGAAAAAAGAAGAAAAAAAAACTAAGTTTATGCTTCTTATGTTTGATGAGTTTGAATGAAAGAAAAATTGAAAGGAAAAAACAAAGAAAGAAATTATTTATGCTCTTTCAGCTTGATGTTAAATAAAAACTAGCAATATTGAAGGGGGGAAAAAATAAAAGCTTATGATTTTGTGCTTTCCTGATTGAGAAAAGATGAGAAAAGTTGAAAAAAGAAAGTAGTTTGCTAAAAGAAATTGGAAAAGAAAGGAGAGCCAAGTAACGTGCTTTAGGTTAGCACTTTGAATTCTTTATTTCCTTTCGTTTCTTGAACTTTTATCCCAAGCCACATTACAACCATAATAAAGCCTTGTTTGATCCTAAGGAAAGGGTGGTATGTGTATGAACATGTATGAATAAGGATTTAATGTGTCAACTATGAGAGCATTATCTTGTGAGGATTGTATCAACACTTGCAGTTGATGGTTGTAGGAGTTGGGAATTACTTGGTGATTTTCTGGCTGTGCATAGTTGATTCACACTACACACGAGTTTCTCGTGAGAACATAATGTTTGAATATTTTGGTATAACTTAGTTCTATGTTTTGCTTTACATTTACTTAAAAAGCTTGCTATTGAAAGTTTTTAAATCTTTGGGAATTTATGGCATGATTAAGTCGTTCATGTATTTAACAACAGGTTGATGTTTGCGGGTATCATCATTGAAAACCCTCAAAAGACTATAACACGTCCACTAGGAGTAACCTACGAGTTTAAAGGCTTATGGCATATGCTAAATGCAATCTTAATACCTATGAAAGTGAAATTTTATTTTGTTTTCATCATACTAGGGACTTGCAAGAGTTAGGTTGGGGTATGTGATTAGCCATGAAATATGTATAATTGATATCATTATTGTTTAGTTAATTGCATTAGATTGAAAGTTAAATGTGCCTGAATGATAAAGTTTCAGGTTTTATGTCGATTTTATAGTGTGCCTAATTTATAGGTAGAAGAGATCGAAAGAACCAAATGGGAAACAATCATGCAAAGTGGGATGGAGCTTGGAATAGTTGGAGTGCATAAAAGAACCAAAGCAGAATGTTTGGTGCATCCGAATGCAATGGAAAAAAGCCACTAAAAATTAAGATCCGAGGAAGAAAAAAAAAAAATTCCAATGAGATTGATGCATTCAAACAGAGGAAACAATCACCCGCACGCGGCTGGTATAAATTGACAAATGACCTACATGCGTCTGGATGCATGTTTGTCCGGTCTGAATGCAACTCCAATTCTTAGCTTGATGTTGTACTTGAGTAGTGTTAGGTTTAGGTTTGCTTAGTTAGTACATTTACATTTGTTTTACCCTAAATTGGGTTGTCTTCCAATTCCCAAACCTCTTCTTGTAGTTTTCTTGTAATCTTGTTTATAGATTGCTAAATCCCTAACTAAAGCTAGAGGTAAAATCTTTCAATAAAGCATAGTCTGTATATATTTTGATCCAAAGTTCTTTAATGCTTGATTTTCTTTATTTTGATTCTTATTTTTGGTAAAGTTTTTGCTCTTTAAATTCTATTGATTTGTTGTGTCACTTCCATCGAATTCTTTACATTCTCTGTGAGGCTAATAACTGATTTATATGTCTGAATCAATTAGTTAGGATTTTCATAAAAATTATTGGTTTCTTGTTTGCCTTGAAAAGAGGTTTTAATTGTTAAAAAACTTGATTCATCGTAGACTCCGAATACAGTGAATGTTTTTTTAACTAGAAGATCAAACAATAAAACGAACTTTGATCTTGGTGGAATTTCAAAGTGTAGTTCTTGACTTGGAATTCTCCACATTGAATGATGTCAAACATGAAGAAAGTCTCTCCACTTGTCGTTTGGTTTGTAAACTCTATTATTAATCTTGTGATCTGAGAGAGATTTCTCTTGACGATTGTAAACCCACTAATTTTATAGGGGCCATTGAAACCAGACTTTGGCTTTGTGATTTTTCCCTTTAAGGGTTTCCACATAAAACTTTGTTGAGGAGTTTATTTATTTGAAATTGATCCATATCGAGACACAAAGAGGTTAGAGAATTTATATTATTATTGATGGTCTTTCCCAAAACATGCATATATGTGGAATTTAGTTCACATAAGATTAAAACAACCACACACCATAATTAAGAACGTCCAATGCTAGGTTTAGCCTCTTAAATAGTCAAAATTGATTCTATACAAATGCAAGAACCATTTTGAATAGCTTTCGTCTAAGGGATGCAACCTCTGCGTGGTTACATGCTCAAAATATCATCAGTTTAATATAAAGACATAGAATCACATCCCTGAATAACCAAAATGTATATCTTGTCATTTGTACTTCTCATTCTTCAATGGTTTTTGTTTATGTTTTTTTCCTTGTAATTGACTAGTTGTAATTTTGTGTGGTTGTGTGGTTACACTTGGCAAGCTTCTTTGTAAGTTCTTATATTGCATTAATTGTTCTTTTCCTTTTCTATTTAATGAAGATCTTGGACTGGGAAAAAAAATTGTTTCTAGCTACACTTATGTCGAAGCTACAGCATACAATTCAACCCATGCTTTTAAGTGTTGGTAAGTGAAAAAGGATGAAAAAGTAAATGCCAAGTCTTGTTGGAATTAAGAAACAAAATGCACTATTAGACATTATTAGCACGTATCCAACTAATCAGTCAAAAAGAACAAACATCAACAAAACAACATACTCATATACTCTAATAAAGTCACTTACGACCTTACTCGAATACTAGCAAATCCTCAACAGTCACAAAATACAATATAGGAACAGATAGAATGGAACTTAATAGCAAAGAGTACCTCCCTCTTATGTGAGTGAGTGAGTGATTGATCAATTAACAATAGTAGCTTAAAAGAATGATCATAGAATTGACCAACCAAATAAGTTTGGAGGAATTTTTTTTTTTTTTTTGTACATACAAATTACAATGATTTTTTTTTTCAAAGGAACCAATTGTTTTAAATAGGGCAAAACACAAAGTATAATACACTTGAGCATACTCAACCCAGTAGCATAGACTTTATAGCAACATTGCACAAGAATTCAATAAAAATAGATACACCACGTTGTTCTGTAACAGCTAAGTAACGTAGTTTTAAGCTGATAAGACACCCAATACTATATTGGTACAGGAAGAAGGATACATAGGTCAAATTTCGTTCAGAATATAACTTGATTGTGGTTCATTCCTAAATCTTTTCTAACATGGACCTACCGCTGACGACACATTAATATTGACTATTGAATTGAAGAACATCTTGCAGTAATTCATAGAGAATAGAAGCAGTATGCATAAAAATGTTTTCCTGGTGAACTGCAACTGTGATATCTGCTTGCAACATCGAAGTGCAAGTGAATTGCACTGTTACAAAAGTAATAACAGCTTTAAAGTAGTGGAAGTTTCATTTAAACTTCTCATTTTCTAATAAGAGCGTCACCTGTATCTTAAGGCAACTATGGAAAGGATAAGCTTTACAAGTTGTCTTTTTAAACTTTTTTCTGTGTTTTCTATTTGTTCCATATGATAAGATTCAAACCACATCCCCCTTCTCATGATGTCGCAAGTTTAGTCGCATCCCAAAAATGGAAAACAGCAAGCATAGTAGAATACGTTCCAAACAACCCTAGATAGTAGTAATCAAGCAATGTTACAGGTACTTAACTTGGAAACTTAGTTCACGGACTTAACTCATTACCGTCATTAGATACATTTGCGAGTGTCACTGGTAGCTGAAACTCATTTTTATTTTAACTATAATTTACCAGGTTCCAAATTAAAATTTTAAATTAAGTACAAAAAACATTTTTTTGTAATAGTTCTCAAGCCTCCCCAAGTTTTACTTACCAATAGTGAGTGACTGACAAACCTAAAGAATCGCCCCAGCTAAAGATAAGGTGGAGAGTCCTAGGAGACTAGAATAATAGAGTGGGATTCCTGACCAGGTTCTACAGTATTAGTGCTTATTTCAAGGTACTTGAACATAATCATACAGAATGAATATAAACAAGGAGGGATTTGTATTTTAGTACTTTGCGAACCAAAAAGCTGTTCCAAAAAACAAGAAAAATCTCCGTTCCAAAAAACTTGTTTATATGATGTATAGTGCATGAATACATACTATCATTAATGCGAGACAATTATTAATAGAGATAAAAGAGGAATGGAAGATAACCGCAAGCCAAAAGAAATTGTTCTAGAGTTGCATTTTGGTCAACCCGGCCACGAAGTTTCTTTAGGGCTGATAGAGGGCGAACCAAACGTTCCCGAAAATGAAGATTCAAGGAGGAGGTAAGAGGGGCCAGCAGCAGCTGAGCCGAGAGAGAGAGTGAGGTCACCCAAAACAAATCTGGGTTTTAAGCTGCTAGAGAGATTTGAAGTTTTCTTTTTTGGGTCACCGGAGAGATTTAAAGTAGTGACAGCTAGTTCAGAAAAGGCGGCTCATGCACGGGCTTGGACAGGGTTAATTATCACAACCTTTCTCCACGCGGAGAGGTTAACGTTTGACCCTCAAGTCGGAACAATTTCACCACTAAAATTTATATTTTTCCCACACATCATGCGCTCAGTGGTACTGTGGTACAACTCCGGCGAGAGACAATACCCAAAATCCAAAAAGGAGCAAATTAACCATGAGCAGGACAGAATGAGCAGTTACCAGAGTGATAATTCCCAGAATACAAAGAGGTGGTCGTCGTCGTCAACGTTTCTTTGCAAAGATTACTAAGCTGTAATTCAATATCGCTCAAGAACGTCGCCGCTTCATCGAACGGCTTTGACAGCTCCTCCTTGTATTTATGTAGAACCTCACAGTACGACTCCTGAAACAGAAACAACATAGAAAGTCAAAATTAACACCTCCAAAATAGATTATTAGCATTCAAACAATCAAACAGAATAATAAAATAGACTTATACAACATGTATAAACGTGCTTGTATGTATTTGTATAAGCTGAAACTTGTTTCATACCATGAATTCATCAAGTTCAGGATCAGTTCCAATCTCGCTGTGACTACCGCTAGGATGATTTTCTTTGCTTATTTCTTCAAGAAGTGAAGCCACTTCGGGTGGTGCTCCCACCTGTTATTGAACAACACACGGTAAAAACTTAGTACCCGAGTGAGGATATACGTTCATATGAACATATAGATTACATCCATGAAGAGAATTATGAAAGACCTTTCGACATTCGATGTAAGCAGATACTAATTTAGGGTAGAGAGGATGATTGGCGATCTGGGTCTTGATAAGATCGGACATCTCTGATCCGGTGACTTCTGTTTCGGCTGATTCATATTGAAACAAGTTATCAACTGGACCATAAAGTGCAGTATTTATGGTTCGCGTAATATTTCCTGTTTCCGTGAGATCTTCAGAGCAAGAAAATGAGGTATGCAATCCATACAGGTCTTCCATGACTAGTGAAACTAGTTATAATTAAGAGTTCAAAAAGACTGAAATTTTCAGGTCCAACGATCGCTATTCTCAGGCTGTTTGTCTCTGTTAAGATCCTCCATGGATGAAAACTTCAGGTTCAACAGTCCAAGATTGAAGAAACTTCAAGTCTTCATAATCAACCCTGCTGGATTGAGATGAGAAGACTAGAATTCCAGAGAGAGAAAAAAGGAGACCCAAACTACAGAAACCCAATGGTTCAAGTTTGTGGTGGTGATCTCTTTCTCTCTCTGTGTACGAGTATGTGTGAGAGAGAGTGAGAGAACACCGGGGATTGCCACCTGACTTGAGGTTGAAAATGACCAGACCTTGCTTTCTCCTCTGAGGCAGTCTAGCTAGGAAGGAAAAGCAGAAACCTGGGAAAAGAATAGAGAGACAGAGAGAGAGGGGGGGGGGGGGAAGGAAAACTGGAAAAGGGATATTGAGGGAGTGGAGAGGGAGAGGGAGAGGGAGAGGGAGATCTGACAGAGAGTAGGGGGAGGAAAAGGGCGTATTGATTGGATTGCCTTGATGAAGAAAGGTCGAGAGAGGGGCAGAGACAGAGAAATGGTTGGACGAGACCCGCACGTTCTCGCACGCTGCTAAACAGTAACAGTCACAGTTCTCTGATAAATCTTCTCCATTGCCAGCCATTGTCCTCGTGTCACTCCATATAGGTATGGTACTTGGAGAGTCAGACTAGTCAAACACTTCTACTAAAGATAGAACATTGAAGTGACATACCGCCACGTTTCAGGACCTCGTTGGCTGGAGACAATGCTTTGTGGGTCACACTTTCACTTTGACTGACTGATCCACTGTATTCTGTTCTGTTCATTTCACGAGATGAAAATCTCACTGTGTATGAAACAGCCTAAAGCCTGAAAGAGTGGAAGTGTTGAGTTCATCAATGAGCAATGCAAAAACGTTGTCCGCTAGTTAATGCTCAGCCAAGTTTTCTAACTGCCACCTTCACTCCACATGATGATGCTTTTTTTCAGGGAAAAAAATTTCTTTTCCATTTTTGGCATAAATTATTGTACAATTTTTTTATTGATATTATATCTTGATCATCTTTTTATAACACGTACAATTTTTTTTAAAATATTATATTACTACTTTTATAATGACTAATTAAAAATTACTTAAAGCAAAATCTACAATTCAAATAAATTTTAATACTGTTCTAACTATATTATAGCCTAATTCTTATTTTTACAAAAAATCACACTTCTTGTGATCTGGATTCATTTCATAAAACTTGAATTACATCGTATTCACGTTTAGAATGTCATAAATCTCATGAATAATACTCATACTTTTTTATTTTACCCATTAAAACTAGTATTCATAACTAAGATAAAATCAAATAAAATGTTACAAGGTGCATATCCAATACAAATTCAGCCTAAATATTCAAATAGACGAGGTTGAACTGAATTACAGATAATGTCCATCCAACCAAAACTGTCTATATCTCTCCTCCTGCCTCCCATTTTGACCACGGGTTCTCCAACTGCCCATAATATATATTCTCTCTCATCCTTGGTTGTAATAGCCTCGATATGTTGGGTCGACCCCCAACCAAGCTTTCTTTTCATCTCCAATGTCTTTCACACCCTAACTTTGTCAATGATGAATGCATACAGGCATTCTCTATTCTCTCTATGTACTTTGTGTTTTTTCAAAGTAGAAGGCTTGATGCAAAGTTGGCTCTTCATTTAAGTGTTATGCCAGTGGGTTTGCACATCAATATAGGGTTTTAATAATCTTTATCTACGAACTCTAGGTCTTAATTTTTGTAGACGTTCTTAAGATTGCATCTAAAAAGAGGTGGAAACGTTGAAAATGAAAGAAATGGAATGACTTCCTAAACTTGACCAAAGGTTTAGAGGAAGTTCTGAATCCAGAAAAGGAATCACATATTTTCAAGTGCATGAGTTATTTTCAAGGTCTGGTTAACTAACTGATTATGATACGTGTGGATTTTATGACCTCTAAGCTCATTGCTTGGTATCTGGGAAACGCTAGTGGTGTCTCACTAAGCAATGATACCCCCAACGGCAAAGTAACCTTAGACATTGTTAAGGATTTTCGCTCAACAAAAAAACAAGATGAAAGGAATGAAGCGCACCAATCCCGAGTCACAAGCATTGATGACTAAATGGGCGTCCAATTCACGGGAGAAGCATATCAAAATGATAGGGAAAAAATTCAAATGAGGATCCAAATCCAAAACAAGAATCTCATATTATCACTGCAACAAATAAGGGTATATGAAAAAAGAGTGCAGAATCCGGAATAGGGAACAAGAAAGAGTTGATGCAAAAAATGAAGAGAATACAACCACTGAAAAGAGTTGATGGTAATATAGTTAATGTCTGCGAGAATGGTTGTGTTAGCCTCGTATGAGAAGACGACAACTAGGTGATTGATCAAGTGCCTCCTTACATTTGACATCACATAGTGATTCTTTACATCCTACACTAGCATTGATTTTGGCTATGTAAGGGATATGAAATGATGGTGAAAAACTATTGGCATGGGAAATATTTCCTTGGGAACCACCAAAGGTTTTAGGTTGATGCTCAAAGGTGTCTGACATGTTCTGGATGTCCACCTTAACTTGATCTCCCCCCGAGAAGACAGATGACGAAGGCTACGATAACAATTTTGGTGAAGGAAATGAGAAGCTCTCCAAATGTTCGTTAGTGGTGGCCAATGGAAAGAAATTGAACACACTCTACGTGATACAAGCCAAACATTGAAATCTGGCATAAAAAACTTGGTCAAATGAACGAGAAAAGAATTCAAATTCTGGCAAAAAAATCAATTATTGCCAAGTGTAAAATGTATGTCACTTAGAAGTCGTGTGAATTGCCTAACTGGTAAGTAATATTGAGTTTCATTTCAAAGATTTTTATCATCTAAAATATCTCATGTTATTGACATGGATCATAATGAAATTTGATATATGAAAAATATAAAACTTGGTGGTGCTCTACATTTTGTGACGTTTAATGATGAGTGCTCAAGGAAGTTGTAGAGATTTACTTAGAAAACTAACTAGCATGTACTGGACGTCTTCAAGCATTTGCATGCTAAGGTAGGTTGAAAGAGAAATAGTAAAACAACTAAAATTTGTTCGTATTGATAATGGTGGTGATACAAAGATCCATTTTAAGAATATTATCATCATTCATGACATTAGGCTTGAAAAATGTGTCAAGAATCTCTTTACCCAGAGATGAGATGTAAACTGCTAAGACTAGAGACTCTTAATTCTTTATTTCTTGAAATAAAAAGAGAATTCAAAAAAACGAAGCAAGAAACTTACTAGAGGTAGAGGAGGGCATTGCACCCCATTTGTAGTGAACTCTAATTGGGTTTGCAACCAATGGTGCCGAGGGATCGAATTCCTATCCACAACCAAAAACAAAGAAGAAACGATCTTTCCACTCTTTTGGAGGGGAAGAAATTTTCGTTAGCAGATCAATGCTGTCAGCCTTCTTCATCAAATAATACTAGCCCAAGCTTGGGTTAGTACCCACTTTGATCTGAAAAGAATGGAGGATCTCGCCAACAATGAAAAAAAATGCCTATGCCATGAACATAGCTCCATAAAGCACCAAGCCCAATTAACACCCTCCAACAATTTGGGGAGAGTTGGGGCAAGAGCATTGTTCAAGAAAGACAAGAATTCACAAACATAAAGAAGAAAGAAAAATCTAAATCTAGAATTGAAGGTTGCTTCATACACTTAGACCTATCCTTCATGATAATTGCAAGCTCTTTCGACTCCACCAGGAGCTCTCAATAGGATAGAATCATAAATGAAAAATTTGGAGTGAAAGAGGGAAAGATCAACGTCGGTAACAGTACTGAAGACCCCCTAGGCAAAATAGCTAGGGGTTTCAATGGCCTCATCTCGAATATCTTCCACTAGACCAGCCTTTTCTATTCTCGCCTCTTGAGCAAAGGATGAGGGAATTTCGAATGAAGATTTCTTGAAAGCCATGACTAGCAAGGAAGATAAAAGAGAAAAGTGTTTTCGACTTGAGAAACCTTAAAAGAAGAATAGATAGCTCGTTCTTGAGGAGAGAGATCAAAGAGGGAAGGAAAACTTTGCCAATTCAAAAGCCCTAACCGCCCTTTAAATAGTTCAAGGAATGGTTATAAAAACCTTGGTGAAGAGACGTGCAATTAATGCGCTTCAAAATCGGAGGGAGCTAACGGTTAGATTTCAAACGGGAGAAAATCTCCACCAACTTGGGAAACCTAATTAGGGGCAATTGATGTGGGAAAATTTAATCTCAATTAAGGGAAAGGTCATAGTTGGCACTACTTGTATAAATATAGTTGTTAGCGGACTTGTTAGCGAGAAAAAAAAGTTAAAGGAGTAATGAACTTAGGTAATCAGTTTTCCCCAACCTAGTGGGATGAGAAAATCAAAAGGATGATAAAACTTATCCCAAATTTTTAGAACTCTATCTACCATAGACTCATTCAAATGATAGACTCGTTTAATACTTTGAGGAAGATAATGCAGTCAATGGATAAGGATAAGATCATAACCTCAGCAAGTCTTATCTGTATGATCAAACAAACTCCTAACACAGTTAGGACAATGGATGCTTATCCCAACAAAGGATAAAGCCCATAGAAGGCAAGACTCTTCAATCGAAAGAAGATCCGGCAGAATCAAACCACTAGGAGAGAGCCTAGAGTCCACTTTCCCTAGTACTCCTATCAAAATACTATAAAAAGGGGACCTTTGAGGTAAGACAAGGTAAGTACATAAAGCCTAGTAAAATTACTGCACCTTAAAATTCCTAGATATTGACTTGAGCATCGAAAAGTTGACCCTTCCCAGAGCACCCCTCCGACCTTAGACTTTTTTTTCAAGTACCACAACTGCCAAGTACCTCACCCAGAGCTCGGGAAAAAGTGTTGCTAGACCTAGATCAGCCTCAATAGCTTTC